GTTACAGTTTTATGCATACTATAGATGTGGAGAATTAATTTACAATCTAGCTGGCATTTGTTAAAAGTAGTCTTTTTAAGATGTTTAATTGTTTAATGTTTTAATGTTTAGCTTTTAAATGTTTTGACGTTTTGGCATGAGATGCTTTTCAAGCATCTTTAAGCTTCTCTCTCTCTAAATGACCAATTCAGAAATACAGTTATTAGACATATGACATTTTTTCTCACTGAGGGACTCCTGGAGTTCTATTATTTCAGCATTTGAAAGCACGTGTGTGTCAGAGACAGGGGCATCATTAAGTGTCTCTTGAGATGCTATTTAGGACCCAGCACTGGTGTATTAGGGCCTTGTGCCATCTTGAAAATATTGCAGGTGCTACCATGCCTCATAAAGCACAGCTGCACAGAATTATCATGTTAATTTGAAGTTATCTTGTGCATTTATGGGAAAACCTATTTAAAGACATGCTTGGGTTGATTATGTAATTATGTTGTTCAGCACACTGCGTGTCACTGGTTTGCTAACTAACCACTGGACAGCTAGATCTCATCTTTCTCATGCCTACAAGGAAAAAATTAAGCAAGGCATCAAAAATTGAATTTTGGAGAGAAAGTGTCTGAATAAGAAATAACTTCTTTTGCAAACTTCTAGTGAAATCTCTAGAATAGAATTAGAGGCAATCAAACACAGCCGCACTAATCTCTTTCCTTCCTCTACTTCAAAGAAACCACAACAAAATAGAAAAACCTGAGTAGAAACAACAGATGTCCTCTTGCAGAACAGCATGAATAATTCAGTGATGCAGTTTTGATCAATGTTATGCCTATAGAACCAGTGCCTAAACAGGTCTCTCGCATGTTTTATCTGTTGTTATCTGACCCTTGCATCGTCCAATGTCTTTGATGAAAACAAAATTTGCCAAAAGGTATAGGGTAAATACACATAATGATTAATGCCCATGTAAGAAAATTTCTTTTTTTTTCCAGTTACGGGTACATTAGGTAAAGGCATTTGTGTATAGCAAATAATAACATTCTGTGTTAGAGATTATCAGAACTGAACAATTTTGTCTTCTACAATATACTGGGATTATTAAACACATTTTGTCTGAAATGCGATCCACCTGACTGATTTAACAGCCTTGTGAACCAGGCAGGTTTTCAGTCTGGTGAGCTGAGATGGATATTAGATATATATATGATGGCAGAACTGGCCCCTTGCTTCTTGAAATGATGTGAATTGTATTTTGGTCCTCAAAAAATAGGAAATAATTCAGTATTTGTTATTCAGATTTCCACTTATTTAGGGAAAAATTTTTATTTTTATTTTTTTACTGCAGAAATGGCATAAAAGAATCTTGAAGCTTCCTTTAAAGAAAGGTGAAAATTCCCTGGACATGAGGGAATCTTCAGGAATTAAGAATGCCATAAAAATTTAAGGAAATAAGGGAGAATAGAGAGAGTGTGACCCTTCCAGTAATCTTTACCAACCAAAGGAAATGTTATGAAAGTTCTTACATCGGTCTTTTGTGTTTACTTCTTGTTCCATTTGGGGAAAGTAAAGAGGATTTAGCTCCAATTTCCTTTCCTCTGCATCTTTGATAAGCTGTGCTGAAAGACTGTGAGGAATTAATTTCTGTATAACACCCAAATTTAGTTTTTTTTGAAAGTTACTATAGCATGACGCTTCAGGGATGTGGCTACTCTTGAATCATTATATGTAGTAACAACAAAAGGTCTTACAAAGTTCTACTTAGGGAAATAACTGCCTCCTAGGAACTTAAGCTGTTGTAGTGAGAAAGAAACAAGCGTGCCTCTGGCAAATGTAGACAAATCACTATGCAGGCTCTCTTTTTGAAAAGTCCCATCTACTCAGTTTTTTTTCTAAAAGAAGAAATTACCTCAAATTTAAATGTAGCAGTTTTTAGAACCTCACAAACAGAGGACAACACATACTCCCATTGCCCTCGTGTGTGTTATAACGTCTCTAGGGTTCTTGCTGGGTAGACTGAAATGGGCAACGTTATTTCAGGAAACGTGTATTGGAAGGACCCTTCTTCCCTGTAAACTGATGAAAAGATGGGGGGAGGTTGGTTTGATTTTTGTGTGTGTACTTTTATTTAGGAGATCTTTAATTTGGTTCTGAAGTGCTTGAAGGTAAAGTCAAATGTTTTACTGGTCCATGCTACCTCTGTGATCTTCACAGAAGACATTAAATGTGGTTCAGAGGAGGGATTTTCCTACGGACATATAAGTACCAATTCCTGCATTTTTACATGAGCCCCACTTCAACTGACTGATCTAATGAAGGATTGTCTTACCAGAGCTCAGCGTGAGAATTTGTCTCACTATGTGGTGCTCTCCTGTCATAAAAATTGTTCTTAGATTACTTAGAATACTGCTAGATTACACCAGGTAAAATGAGACAGTACATGGGAGTAGTAATTTTAATGATAGAGTTCACAAAATTGTTGTAGGTAGTTCTGTTAGAGCAAATAAACTGAGGAATATTTTAATTCTGCAGGCAGATGTTGCTTGTAGAACATGTGCATTCAGTACTGGCTCTGAGTGAATAAAGCTGATCACTTTAGTTTAACTAATGTATACTTTTCATATGGTGATCCAGGTTTTAGTCTTCTGCTGTTGACTGTGTCATTGCAGAAGGTCTGTTACATGAAAATGAATATTACTGAAGAGACATGAGATGATAAAAGCTGCCTGATCTCTCTTGAGTAAAGAAGGAGTAACCCACCAAGAAGTAAACCAGAAGGCAGTTGGAAATGTAATCAAAATTGGTATTCAATATGTTGCTGCCAAACACATGGCTTTTCTCAGCTTTTCGGCATATATTTGTGGGACTTCATCACAACTTAGCAGACAGGAATATAAGCTAGTAGTTTTTGTCAGGGTTAAAATTTATAATAGTGCTGTCTGAGAGTGTTGTGTTCACAGAAGGGCTTAGCTTGAAGGGAGTCTGGGTTTGACTGAAAGCACGGAGCTTTGTGTAGTTGTAGGGCACTGCACTCAGCTTCAGCCTTAGAAGATGGGCTCTGTGAAGATGGATAACACTGGGGAATCGAGACTTGACCACTATGTCTCTTATGTTCACTGCTATAGCGTAGGTCTATTCAGCTATTTTCCTGCATGCTTCTTTTCTTATTTTAGTAGTTCTTGCATTATATTCTGTTCCTACTAACCTCAGTTTGTTTTTATGTTAAAGTGTCAGTGTAGCTTTGAGGGTTTTGTTCTTTAGTTTTCTTTGCTATAAAATACGCAGATAGCGAGTATGAAATGCAAGTGACTGTTCTTGCTAGCGATTGAATAACCAAAGTATAATAGTAATCCTCTGCTAAATAAATACTGCCTTTGCTTCTGCTAAATAAAGAGAAGCCTTTGGTCTTCTGCTTCCAAATCTGGACCTCAAAGTGTTAATTTTACTTCCCTTTAGCACCTTACAAAATGATGACATTAGCAACCTTGCTAAGGTCTTGACTATGCAATTAGTGTAAGAAGTGGGAGAAAGCACAGTGTATTCATGAATCGTATGTTGTATGTTAACTCACTAGTAAATGATTTTTAGAGCCTTGTTCAATTATAGCATAAGTCTCAAAGTTCATCCCTGAGGAAGAAAATATAATTGCCAAATAGATGTAGCTAATATGATTAGTCAAGCGCCATTTTCAGGAAGTGAAATAGTGGTATAAGTGAAACCTGAAGAGGAGCCTATAGCAAATCTACACGGTTAAACAGAAAGCTTCATCCCTTTTCAGGTTCTGATTGACCACACTGCATAAATGCCATTTTGCTCCTCAGCAAAGCAGCTGTGTGTGTTTTGAGCTGAAACCTGACTGCGACACTGTGGTGTTCTCCAGGGACTGTGTGCGATAGGCAGCACGAATGGGACCAAGCCATGTTTGGTGCCCTCTAAGGTCGTGCAGCTCTGTCTAGAGCTCTGCAGCACAGAAAATTCTCTACACGTCTTCATGGCGCCCCAGGGCAAGTAACATGCAATATTAGTGTCATGCCATAGAAGTACAGCTCTGCATCAAAAATTGAAAAAAAAAATAAAAAAAATAATCAGGCTTTTAGATCATAATCAAGAATTTGAGCCAAGTGCTGTGCATGATTTTTAGTAGTTTAAGTGTAGTGTTAGTAAAGGGCTAAACAAACAAATCTTTGATTTCTTCTGAACCTGAGGAGATAAAAAGAAGTTGGGAAGAACAAGATGGCATTTTTTGCTTCAGACCATGACAGCCACAGTTGAAACAGGAAAAATACCTCCTTTTTCAAGTAAGTAAGGCCTATACAAAAGCACTGAATTGTTGGCCCTGAGTATGATTTCTGTTTCCTTTCTGAAGTGCAGGTCTGTCCTTGGCAGTTTGAGCATTATCCCTTTTCCCCAAGGTTACTTGTGTTCGCAGGCTTCAGAGGAATATGAACCGATAAACGCTGAGGTCCATGCCACTGTAGCTAGATGGTTTTCTGTCCTAAGCTAAAGCTTTAAATCAAATATCTGCATATCACAGTGCAGTGCAGATAAGCTGGAATTATTTCACTGCTTTCTTTTCCATCTGAGCTCTGCTAAAACTGCTGTTGCTATAGCAGAGATCTCCTTGCGTTTCCTTTGTGGACACAGGCTGCAAACATGTTTTTAACATTAAATATACATCTCATTGAAATGCATTTTATTATAGTTCTTGCTGATTACTTATAATTTATTATAAGATAAATTTTATTTCCATATGGTTCCATAAACATCAGTGGTCTTTTAGTCAGGATCTACACTGTGATAATAAAGACATGATCACCTCAACAGGGTTGTACTGGAATGTAAGCCTTTTACTAATAACAGTAAAGAAACATATAGTAGGATGCAACCTCTATGGATATCAGGATACAAAAACTTGTTAACTGTCCTTTAAAATAAATTTACACACCTGTAATTAAAGAATGAAAAAGAATTTGCATTCCTAATGTGTTATGATATTGTCATTGATTTAGGCAGGACTAAGGACACTTCATGATATTGGCCCTGAAATACGCCGAGCTATATCCTGTGACTTGCAAGATGATGAACCAGAGGAAAACAATCCAGAGGAGGAGGAAGATGTTTATAAAGTAATGTCAGAACACAGCTATGTGAATTGTTTTATCATATAATATGAGATTAAAGAATGAGCTTATCCCTTAATATTGAAGAATAACAATAATCATTAAAACTCCCTCAAATCAGCACAATATAAATATTTTATATATAAGTGTATTTTATATATATCTCTCTGAAAATGGTATTACCAGGACACTTGCATCTCGTCATAAATTTAGGAAGCAGTTCCTGCAGGGTGATTCTTCTGCCCCTGCTTCTTGCTCATTGATTCTTATTTTTTGCATAAGCAAATCCTAAGAAAAGGTATGAACCTTGCCATCTCAAATTCTGATAGTGGCAACATTTAAACTGGAGGCGTCTTAACTTCTGCAGTGGTAGATAGGAAGAAGAGAATGAAATTCTATGCAGCCAAACCGCAACAGACATAGAGCTGCGTATTTTAAAATGAATGCCTGGAATTACACAAAAGTCAACTAAATATAAATGCCATTTCTGATTTCCTGTGAGGGATATCAATAAGAATCAATCAGAAAAAAAGATTAGTTTTCTTCTTTTACACTACAGATACTCAGTCTAATGGTGAATGTGTAAAGTTGGTGTCACAATCAGGAGCGAACTGCAAGCCACTTGTCAGCCAGCAAGAAAACTGCAAATTTTTCACAAGCATTTTGGAAGAAGCAGATATAAAATCATGCTTCTGCAGTAATTACATCAGACGCCCCATAGCTTGCTCTTGTCCTTTGCAAAAAAGGAGGATGTGGCACTGGAGACAGTGCTGCAGCTACCATCAGTAGATGCATTTCTCTGCCAACCATCATTACCTCCTGTCTTCCCTAGATCAAGCTTCAAGACAGACTGCTGTCACCCAAGACCCAGACCTGGCTAGACAGGGAGGCTACATAATCTGGGTCAGATGTAAAAGAGAGCTGCATGTCATAGTCATAATTTAGCACTTCATTCTCTCACCATCCATTACACTCTCAGGGCTGATAAAGAGTTACTACTCTTTCTTGTACCTCTGTAAGAAGAAAGAATGGAAGCACTGACGCTTAATGTTACCTACTTGAGATATGCTTGCAAGCTGTTGCATGGCACTCCATCCTGTCTGAGTGACACCTGTTGCAAACCGATGCTCTGGGAGAATAGGAGAGAATTCCATCAAAGTTTTCTCAAAAATTAAGCAGATGCATCCCTTTCTGAGGAAGTTGGTGCATGTTCATGTATGGGAATCTGCATTTCTCCTGTGTAATAAAATGTGGAGAAAGCTGGATGTCACTTTAGTTGTATAGAAAAAGAATAATGATCACAGAATAATGTTGATTTGACTCTGAAATACAAATACTGTCATTATCACAATCACACCTCTGTCACTTCAGGAGATCCCATCTGAGGCATCATTAAATTAGAAAGAAAAATCACAAGTTCCTTGAATTGCTACTTTTGTATGCATGTAGGAGAGAAAAGTAAGTTATCACTGTCAAAAATATCTTCTGTTAAGGCACCTGATGTAATTTTTTTCTTTCTCTTCCCCTAAAACAGAGGAATGGTGCCCTCTTTGGCAACCACATAAACCATATTAGCAGTGACAGACGAGACTCATTTCAACAGATCAACACCACACACCGTCCCTTACATGTTCAACGACCTTCGATTCCGTCTGCAAGTGATACTGAGAAAAATATATATGCTCAGGCAGGAAATTCTGTATACCACAATCATCATAATCACAACTCGGTAGGAAAGCAAGTTCCAAACTCAACAAATGCCAATCTCAATAATGCCAACGTGTCCAAAGTTGTTCATGGAAAACACACAAATTTCAGAAATCATGAGCATAGATCTGAAAACGGTTACCATTCATACTCCAGAACTGATCATGAGAAGCGCAGAAGGCCAAGCAGTAGGAGGTAAACTTACAAATACATATTTGCTTTTAAATAAATTTATGTATTATAAATACACTATAAGAGAACTTACACTGCATGAAACTAATTTGTATATTTAGCTTTATTTCTGTTGCCTACTGATATATGAAACATTTAAAATACAGCTCTGATGTATGGGAAATGTATATAACTTTAATAAGATTTGAAAGTAGTAATTTTCTTTAAAGTGTAATTATTAGTTACAGCACAGACATTGTAATCACCAACAAATTTCTCTAAACTACCTGATTTTAAAATATCTTTCTCCTTATTTTCATGGCTTATGTGGATAGAACCCGCTACTATGAAACATACATTAGGTGAGTTGATATTGTTCTGACATAATCGAAGAGGACAAAGTAGGTTTTCTTTTCTTTCTTTTTTCTCTCTTTTCTCTTTTTTCTCTCTTTTCTCTTTTTTCTCTTTTATCTTTTTTATTTTTCCTCTTTTCTCTCTTCTCTCCCCCTCTCTCCCCTCTCTCGTGTCTCTTCCCCCCCCTTTTCTCTTCTCTTTCTCTTCTCTTTCTCTTCTCTTTCTCTTCTCTTTCTCTTCTCTTTCTCTTCTCTTTCTCTTCTCTTTCTCTTCTCTTTCTCTTCTCTTTCTCTTCTCTTTCTCTTCTCTTTCTCTTCTCTTTCTCTTCTCTTTCTCTTCTCTTTCTCTTTTCTCTTTCCCCTCTTTCTTTTAGTAGAATTTTCAGAATTAACTGTATGACAGTGCATATGCTGAATAACTGAAGTGATGATTTCTAAGTTAAATTTTCTACTGCTTGTCCTAAAAGGACAACATCCTGCTAAAGTTCGAAATTATTCAACCCCTTGTCCAAGCAGGTTTGTGCAGTTTTTAACAGGCAAAAGATCACACCTAATCATAGCCCTTGTTTAAAATTGACTTGCAAAGACTGGAAAAATCACCACCTTTATCTTTGATAAATATTAATGTGTACAGTGCCATTTATAGGGGACTCAAAGTCTTTCCTGATCTTATGTCTGAATTTTTTCTAAGATAATTTTTTAAAATAGGATATATTGTGTTATTTGAAATGCATTTGTAAATGTACATTCAGTGCTAGTTTTTAATGCCTAGATTTGCACATCCATTTCGGATTTTTCTTGCAATACCTCAGTGAGTGCTCCTTAATATTTTAGCCTTTTGGCAAACTTAAGACATTTGAGAGAGGCTGTGTTTCATCATTCTGAATTTATATTTTGTAAAAACTTCTTAAATGTATTTGACTTCACTGAGCATTCCTATATTAATTATTTTCCTGTTTGTACCATAAGGAAATAAAGGGAGGTCATCTTTAAGAAACAGGTAAAATAGTTGTGTTCTGAACTGCAGTTGTACGCAATTTACTGTAACAGCACATTCTGACAACAAGAAAGTTGTTAATGCTTGTATTTTTTTTGTTTTTCTTGGAAGCACATTAAAAGAGCTGTGTATAAAATATCCAGCATATAATTTATATAAATAAAATATTAAAAAAATAAGTATTTGTTTGCTACTTACAGATCTGACTCTGGTGATGGGCGTCGACCTACTATTTGCCGTGAAGAACGTGAAGTTCAAGACTATTGCAATGATGATTGTTATTTGGGAGAGCAGGAATATTTTAGTGGAGAAGAATATTATGAGGAAGACAGTATGTTGTCAGGAAGCAGGTGAGGATATTTGTTAATCTGGGAAAAAAAATTTCAGTTGGGTACATGATCTGTAAAGGCTCCACTAAGCACACTTATACTGAAAATTCTCTAATGAAGTTAATACTCAATAACTGCTGGCAAATGAAATGGTGAAGAGCAATAGTGTGTGTACCAAAGATCTTTTGTAATCAGCATCATGTGCTGACTCCAGCAAAACTTCTGTACCAAATTCAAAGCGAAACACAAAGTTCCTTTGAACTGGGTATAAACTAGATAGTGCATAACCAAAGAAGCATTTGATTTATAAATAAAATGTCACTTACAGTGGGAGACAGATCAAGCTTAGATAGAGGAACTTTTAGAAATCGTTTTCTTCTTTTAATTTAACTTCAGAAGAAAGGTGAAACTGGTAAACTATGAGCTGAGATCATAAGGTAGTACTAGCTGGACCAGTAAAGAATTGGACGACTTCCTTTTGAAAATTCTCTTTATACCTCTTTATTAATAATCCTCCTCTTGGCACCATTTTTTGTCTCCTTAGTACAAACGCTTAACACTGCCACAGTTGTCCTGGCTTTTATATGTTTGGAATAAATGTTTTTTAAGTTTTATTCATAAGCTTTATAGAAATGCCTTCAATTGAATTTTAGTCAACAGCTAGCATTTCTTATAAATTTCTGTTACTGCATAATGCCTAAATTTATATTAATCTGAGGCTCCTTGCCGTAACTGCAGAGTTCTAGTTTTGTAACCTGATTCCTCTGTTTTCTAACTCATTTCTGTTTTCTCCAGCCAAAACTTGGGAGAGTATCCTAGTTAATTACAGTATTTCTGTCTGGTACAGTTTTTCCAAGGCCCAGTAGTGTTTTTAACAACTCTTGCCTGATCCTGTGTATTTAACTCCCGTGATCTTTGCATTTAATATCTTACTTTCAGATTTAAGAGGAAAAGGCCTTGATTTAATTTTGGTAAATGCAAGCTTTTCTCTGCAACTTTATTTCACACAGTTTCTTCAGAAATGGACTGGGGTGGGTTTTTCTAACTTTAGAACAGTGACTCCCAAGTTAGTTTGGCTTTGAGCATTACCAAGTTAGTTTGATTTGACCACTGTGCTATTGGCTTCAGGCAGTGATGGCTTCCGCAACAGGACAGGTTCTAACTTTGCGTTGGGACCACTCCTGTACATAAATAATAGTTTTCTGGTTGTTCAGGCAATGTTTGGGTGCTACTTTGGGAGGAAGGCCTGATATTCCTGATTTCGTCTTTAAAATGGGAGATCATTCCAGTGTTTTCTGAGTATCAACCTGTCATGGAACAGAACCTATCTTTGGTAATACTGAAGGGCTTCCTATTTAAAAAAAAAAATCAAATGCACCTTTTTCCCAAATATCTCATGATTTTGGTTTTGATTCCATGATATTCACCACCTTATTATGACATACAAAGATCTTGAGCAGACTGTGTTCATCTTCCTTACAATAGCTACATTTCTCTTCTGCTGAATAAATTCAATAAATTTTCAAAAATATCCTCCACTTCTGTCAAAATTTTTTTTATATTGAAGTCAAGCCCAGAAGTAGAGGAATTTATTGCCATTTTATCTTAGATCCACAAGTGCATATGCAAAAGTGCTAGACATCCTTAATTCTCCTCCTCCTCCTCTACTGTCTTTCTTTGCCATCTGAATTCTGGCAAGATTGGCACCCTAATCTACATCTTGTTGGTTTGCATAAAAGCTAAGATTTGTATGAAAGCTAAATTTTACAGAATTCTCAGGTCACTAATTTTTTGATGTGATAATTACAGTCAAATAACACCCTTCCAAGATTTTATTTTTGGCAAGAGAAGTACCCAGAATGTAAAACACTTAAATCCATTCTCTGAGTTTCTATGCTCCCACACATTACCCAGGGTTCACAAGAGAGCATGGCAGGAATGGAACAGAGTTGGGTTTTGGTCCTACATTTTAGCCTGTACTGGTAAGAGTAACCTGATTGAAAATATAATTTGATAAAAAATTCACCTGAGAACTTACTATGTAACTGTACTTGTACAAAAGTGTATGCTCACTATCTCAAAATCAGTTTGCATACAGAAACTGGATTTTAAATTTGACTCATGTAATTATATAATGTAATGTTTGGTTGTCTTGCTGGAGAAAGAGTAGATTTGTAAATCTAGAAGAAATCTAATAGATCAATTTACAGAAACTCACTGAAATAACATTTTCTTTATTGCATTTTAAATGCAGGCATATCTATGATTATCACTGTAGATATCACTGCCATGACTCAGATTTTGAGAGACCCAAAGGTTACCATCACCCACATGGGTTTTTTGAGGAAGATGATTCACAGATCTGTTATGATACAAAAAGATCTCCTAGGAGACGGCTGCTACCTCCAACACCAACACGTAAGTACATTAAGAACAACTTGTTTGCAAATTTAGAATTATTTAAATGCATTCAGACATGTTCCAGTTTAAAAAGGCTTCTTTTCAACTTGGATCTCAAACATGACGTTTCTTGATTGCTGTTGCTAGTGGGTTATTGTGCATGGCAGAAATATCTGTCCAACCTGAGATTGGTCAGAGAATCTATGGATCCTAGCTTACAAGTCAGTCTTTCCAATCTCTCTTGCCTCACTCATCCAACAATATAAAAATAGGCAATTTAATTGCCAGTTTTAACTTGATTCGATAAATGAAGAAAGAGCAAGGTAGAATGCAGCAGTAGTTTGCTTTGAAGCTTTGATCAGAGGGTTTCAGTCCCTGTGCCCTTTATTCACACCTACAGATGTGCAGTGTTGCTGTGAGTCAGTGCCATTGTCTCTCTAGTGACTCACCTGCTGGCACTTCCCCTGCCTCTTAACAGTCATGCTGCTCAATGGCATTGTAATCAGCTCCATTTACATCTTTACCTCGTACTGTTTTAGTAAACACTAGAGACTGAAGTAGGATAATTTTCAGGGAAAAGAGAACGAAGAGTGAGCTTAATGGTGCTTTAGTTTTGAGGGTTTTTTCCTTACTTTTGAAGTGCCTTTAGCTTTTTTATGTGAGTTTCTGAAGTCCCTGTGAAAAATAAAAGGGTTATCCTGAGCTAAGCATCTTATTTCAGATTCGCATTCGTACTTTATTCTGCCATCTCAGGAACAATGCTTAATATTCTGTGTTTCTTCTCAGGGAGAAAATGTTTCAGTTTATAGATTGAATTAGTGTTGTCAACTGATTTTTTTTACCTGTTTCTTTGATTTTCATTTATTCTCCTGCTTAGATCTTTCCCTTGGTTTCTCCTTATCTCAAGCACAATATTGCTTTATCTGCATTTCTAAAAGCTCTCATACTTCTTGTAATTTTGTTTTTGTATGTTCCAGGCCATGCTGCAGAGATTAGCAGTGCTAACCCTCTGGTGAAACTAGGCACAGACTCAAAGATCTTGGATTTTGGTCTTTGACCTCTGACACTTCACAGAGAGGAAGCACTTGGGGTTGTGAAGGGCAAAACAAACCTCTTTCTAAGGCTTGCTCTTGTTGGTGCACAAGAAACAACACTCAACTCCATGCAACCCCATAGTGTCCCTACAAGTACTCTTACGCATAGTGTGGTCAGCACAGCCAGGTCTGTTACACGTGCCTTTGAATGATGCCACCTAGCCAGTTCCATCCAGACAAGACAATACAGGATCATTTCTAGAAAAGTCTCCACGTTTTGTCTGCTATAAGATGATTGGCTTTCTAGCAAAACCAGAGTTGTCTTTCATTCTGATGATGCTAGCAGCCAGAGTCACAGTCTATTTATCTGTGGAAGTATGACTGTAAGGACCTCGCGGGTAGGAAAATGGGTTTCAGTCCTTTCCTATCTCAGATGCCCTAAAGAAAATGCAGGTATAGATTTAAAAAATAAAAGTGTTTCAGAGACAAGTGTACTGGGATCATTATACAACAGCCAGGGTACAGTCTCAGACTGTTGAAAGCTACAGAAACCTGTGGTAAAGGGCAGCAGCAAAAGATATTATTACATAATAAAGGAAACATTCTTCAGCAATATCGCCAGTGCTGGATCCTCACTTTTGGCACTCAGGTCCTTACAAGACGACTAGCGATCCTCTCTGCTATTTGGCTTTCTGACCTTAAGGGGCACAGATCGAAAAAGCAGAAAGACTATGAGGCTTGCACTATAGAGAGTAAGTAACTCAGATGAATTATAAATGTACAGAAAGCTGCTAGCTGTCTTCCAGTAGCAGAAGGAAAAGACATCAGACAAAGGAGAGATATCTCACGTACAAGAGACTAGGTAAATGTATTAGATAAGAGGGTATTTGATGTCCTAGGATAAGAGGACCTAGTTCTGATCGAAGTTGCATAAAGGGTAATGTAGGAAGTCCTTTGACTTACACCAGTATAACGTCAGAAGAGCGCAGTCAGGCCTCCTGCCATAACTGTTTATTTAAGGTTCAGGAACGCAGTTGAGAAATTGTAGAGGCTTGGTATCTCAGCAGATTTTAAAAGAAGTTCAAACCTATTATTTGTAACTAGCATATGGGCTGTTTAGCCTGGGGAGGAAGCTTTGATGTTCTCACATAAAGAAAGAAAAAAGAACCTGCAGCATTGCACCGAACAGTTTCTGCTGGCATCTGGATTCAGTCCAAGTTAATGTAACATACAGTGCCTTGGCTGAGTACTGTAGTTAGTAAATTGAGCTCTGTGTCAAGATTCCTAGAGGGTTTTATACCAAACTCATCACCAGAGTGTTTGAGCAACTTCCAGAAGTATACTGAGAAATGATTAAGATGTTCTTTCAGACTCTTTCCTGGGGAGAAGCATGTGCAGAGGAGTGTCTTGTTTTGGATAAGGGGACTTTTTGGTTTGCTTTTTATTCATTTTGGTATTGGGACATTTAGCATTTGTTAACATCAGGAGCTAAGGCTTACACTTCTCTATTTGGATTTACCACAGAGACCATGGAAAGAGACACAAAGTTTGCATTAAGTGGACTGAATGACTTCCTGGAGGTGCCTATTTTAGTCCAATGGCTCTTTAGGGAACCTTGATTGTTAGTATCCAGCATTAAGTGTCTGGTGATAACTATGAAGAATCCTAAGTCTATGGCACTTAACTCTTCAGTTCTCTTCACAAAATTCTTGGTGTTGGAAAAAAAGATGCCAAGAATAGTTTCAGTGTTTCAAGAGAGCACAACTTTGTATCATTTCTTTGTACAGTCAGGCTTTTTCCAGTTTTCCACTATGATGCTCGCAGCCGTGAGGACGTATCTGGATTCCAGCTGCTGTTCAGTGTCCAGGCTTTCTTTACGCTGAAGCTAACACACAGGAATGATACCCATGCGCTGCTTGCCATTGTTCCACAGGCTTTCACCAAGACCAGATGAAACATTTCCACATGAGCCAAACATCTTGGTCCAGTTTAGATTTCTACTTTTTCCTTTCTAGCATTTACGTGAATAACAGCATACACAACAGCAGAGACCATGGCTTATCATTGTCATAAGTCATAGAATAAACATCAGGAATTGACAACCTGAGTTATCTTGGATTTGGATATGGTTTTTCATATTGTGCATTGCTTCCAAGGAACTGGGGATTTGGTATTTCCTTTGGGAAGTTTGATTCATTAGAATGAAGAGTTTAAAACCATGAGTAAGAAAGAAGAAACTCTTCTTTGTAACTATTCACAGCAATTTACAGCAAAACTGTAAAGTTAAGTGTCTGAACCAGCCTGCTGCATAACACCAGTTTGCTTTGTGTAACAGCTGCTTCAAATTCTGTCATGTTAGGTTGCTCGTATGGTTTCTACCTAGGACTGCATTTGCTCATATGATGAGTCTATCCTTTATCTTATAACCAGCTGCTTGCTTTTGTTAGCACAATTTATTTCTTACTGGGGGATATGTTTTTATTGGTGTGATAGTTGACTCACACTGGAATTCTGGAAATAATAGACTTGGAAGAAAAGAATTTTATTCTCCTAATGATTTATGATTTCCCTGTAGCAAATAGACGATCTTCCTTTAACTTCGAATGCCTCCGCCGACAAAGTAGTCAAGATGACATACCACTGTCTCCTAATTTCCACCATCGCACTGCTTTACCACTTCACTTAATGCAACAGCAGGTAAACACAAAATCTTATTGAACTAATAATGAATTACATCTTTCCAGCTTCTATATTGTACTTCTGACTTTGATTGTTGTTTGAAGCAGTACTAGTGTATTATGTAGTTTGCCTGTGCATGACTTCTAGGCCAAGCGTAGGCTTCTAGTTGCAAGGCATGAGGCTTCTCAAACATTGACCTCCTACAAAACATTGAAAATTAGTAGTTTGCCTCTGTGGCCACAGAGGGTCGGGATGCCCTAAGGAAATTTGAACAGGACTGCACAATATGGCAAGTGTCTAATAATCTTTGCCTATGCAGTTACTCAGCTCCATTTGTGAGACTTTGCAAGTACAACATACATGTCTTCTGAGGCTCAGTACCCAGCTCTGACGTGGCCCTGAGAAGATGGCAATTCCATAGTCTGGAGATGCCACCCAGAATGCTTGGAAAGTGCTGACAGCTTCCTGTCCTGTCCCTACAGGACAGAAGGAATGTTTCTACACTTTGCTTTCCTTGTTTAATATATGTATAAACAATTATTTCTCTTTATTAATGCTAATACCGAGATTTTGTGATCCAAGTAATAATAGACAAAATACCATTTTATCCTGTCAGTTTACCAATTTCAGTCCTGTTCCTCCGTGACTATTAAACATCAGAAAATGTTAACTTTGCATAGCTGCTAGCTGAACAATTGGTTGGAACTGACTGCTGAAATGAGAAATGAGTATGACTGAGCGTTTGAAATCACTGACTCCTAAAATTCTTCCCCTTACCAGGTCATGGCTGTTGCAGGTCTGGATTCCAGCAAAGCTCATAAACATTCACCAAGTCGTTCAACGCGTTCCTGGGCTACCCCACCTGCAACCCCTCCCAACAGGGACCGTACTCCATATTACACACCTCTAATCCAGGTTGATAGGGCTGAATCTACAGGCCATATGAATGGTAGCCTGCCTTCCTTGCATAGGAGCTCTTGGTACACCGATGACCCTGATATTTCCTACCGAACATTTACACCAGCCAATTTAACTGTACCTAATGACTTCAGGCATAAACATAGTGACAAACAGAGGAGTGCAGACAGTTTGGTAGAAGCGGTAAGTATTACGGAAACCTCTGCAGTAGCCAAAAGTGTCTGTCTGGTTCAGTTTTTGTGTTAACTTTAAAAAGCATATAATTCAGTTCACATTGTCTCTCTGAAAATGTGGTATTTTCAGTTTCAAAGCCCAAAACTGTTCTTAGATAAAGACGGGGAACTTATTTGTAGTTGTCATGTAGTAAATGATTTCTGCTGAATCCACATCTTAACATTAGTGTGTCAGAGAACTGAAGAGATTTCTAAAAGATTTGAAATTTCAGTTTTCCAGATGAGGATCAGTTATGAAGTGTCCTTCCACAATAGGCTGATAGGGAAGAGGTGATGCATATGCCTGTTCTCTCGGTTGTTTCTATAGAAAAACATTGCCATTTTTGCAGTAATCTGAATAAAGGATCAAGAACTCTATGAATCAGTGTACTAAATGCAGAGAGGTGAATAACAACTACAAGGGTTGATTTGTAGGTGTGCCTAAGAATGTAAAGAATTTCTTTTTATATTAAAAAATATTTGAAGAGTATATAGCATTTCTGAATCACACTTACTGTTCTCCCTTCCATCTATCGCTTCCTTTCCATTGCTATGACAATACACTTTGTTACGTTTTATTTGCAAATGGGACTTCAGCATCTTTCTTCCTTGTGCTCTAAAGTACCGAGAACGTACCTAAAATTCGGTGTTTCAGGCAATTGTTTTAATTGCACCATCTGAGAGATATTAATTGTTGTCTTTAGTGCATCAGCCTAATGATTGATGTTTATCAAAGACCAGTCCCAAATTTCTAAAGAGAAAAGTCATATGTATTGCATTATCAGTTACATTATCACATAACTGATACAGTGTGGTTTGGAGCCATTTGATTGTTGATTTGATGTGATTGTTCTTTACACTGACAGTTTTGCTGTGGGTTGCTGTAGTGATTGAGCATGGGGTTTCTAGTATTTTCCACAAATGAGAAATGTTGTTATGACCTGCCTGTTCTTATGTAATTCCACTGTATATCTCCTTCTCTCTTCTCCATCTGCCAGGTACTTATATCTGAAGGCCTAGGAAGGTATGCAAAGGACCCTAAATTTGTTTCAGCTACAAAACATGAGATTGCTGATGCCTGTGACATGACTATTGATGAGATGGAAAGTGCGGCAAGTAATCTTCTTAATGGAAATATTAGCAACGGGACCAACGGGGATATGTTTCCCATTTTAAGCAGGCAAGATTATGAACTTCAAGATTTTGGTCCTGGCTACAGTGATGAAGAACCAGAAACGGGACGATATGAAGAAGACTTAGCTGATGAAATGATATGCATTACAAGCTTATAGTATTTAGCAAGGAAAATAATTCTAATAACAGAAAAAGTGCCTCATAGTTTAAAGATGCTAGGCACTAGCTGGAGTGAATAACCAATCAAGTTTTGTACAAGTGATGTCACACCTCAAGGAAGCCATAACTAATAAATTTATTATCTCCAGGTTGCCGAAATGTGATCAGAGCTGCAGTCTGTCAAGTCTCCTCCCACAGAATCTTCAGTTCCTCTGTAGGAATGAGGTTATTTTGAAACTAAGCAGATTGTGACAGTCAGTTTTTGAGGGCTAGAGCGGGATTCTGAGGTGTAGTATCTTGCCTGTCTTTCAACCTTGTGCTGCTGTCCTTCATAGTAGAGCAGGATTTTGGCAATGAATATGTCTGTATAAGTCTGGCACAAAATTGTGTGGGAAATAGCAACATGAGATGGGTGATGACAACCAATAATGTCATTACCTCAGTACTCAATAGCATATCAGCTACCTGTTGCATATCCATTCTAGCGTTGTTTTCAAGCTTGTCTCCTGATTTCTTTTCTTAATGCTCTTCTAAAATACAGTTTGTCATGCTCTACCTGTTAGAGATTGTTGGAAAAAGAAGTTATATAAAGAATAATCTGTCATATGTAACACCAGTTTACATAGGAAAATATCACTCAGATAGTCTGTTTTATGACTATCACGTTAAGGGCAAAATATACTGGAATAATTGCATTCTTACTAATGCACTTGCAACCAGGTTATAGTAGAATTAGATTAAGATAGTTTGCTAAAAATTATATAGTAGAAATTATTGTAAATGAATTGTAATATACAATGATTTGTATTTGTAAAGAGATGTTCTATATTTTGTAATTATTGTACCGTAATTGCACTGCAGCAATATTTATGGACCCTAATTATTGTAACTCTCCACAGAATTCTAGATAGAAGTATTTTTACTTGGAATATATAGATCTATAGCATAAATATTTAAATAGAGCCACCTCTCAGTGTAAATCTCTTTTTGGGATAAAGTGTCAAGTTTGAACTTGGCAACAGAACAGATTTTTTTTTTTTTTAAATAATTGAGTCAAATGAATCTCTTTGCATAAGGGATGCACAGTTGACTATTTAGAGTCTTATACTTGGAAAGGTAAAAGATTTAAAGTTATTTATACTTTTTTGACTGAAAAACAAGCTCTAATTTTATTTTTGTATTAATCCCATGCTAAAAATAAATATTCAAATCATTAAAATATTGGCAAGTTCATGCCAGGGTATTACCGGTCATGAGACAATTAGTTTTGACAAAGTATATTACCTGTATACCCTACTTTGATAGGAAGCATCTTGGGCAGAAAATGTTTCATAGGTAAAATGAAAATGCTTTACTTCAGTACTACTTACTCTGCTTGGAAAGAAATATGATAAAATTATTCTTCACAGAACCAAAACCCGTGATATAAGAAGTGTATTATTTTATTGCCTCTACGTTTCTGTTGTTCTATGTGTACTATTTCAAAGATTTATTTTTATGCAATCAAGAGAGGGCTTAGATATTGTTCACAATGCAGTAAAACCCCAAAATGACTTTGAGGCTGAAATGACCTTGGAGGAAATCAAAAAACACTGAAAGCTCCTGTCTATTTTGTTAGCACTGCATAACAATGACTTGTTCTAACAAGTTCTCTTATCAGGTTTTACCTGTAGTTCATATGCTAGATAGCAATCCAGTTCACATTTTTACAAATGTGATGTTTAAAACATGTCAATAAAAATTTTGTACATAATGACAATTTCCTATGAATAGCTTACAGACTTCCTCTGAAATCATTCTTATTTCAAATGCCAGGATAAGAACTTAAAGGTTTGTAAATTATTTCTTGACCTACATCATTTTGTATTCAAACAAATGCAAAATGTTCTTCAAAATAAAACTGTGTAATAATTTTATTATACTTGGGACTCCGTTTACTATTAGTTTTTCACCAAGAAGCTCCAGAAGTTAAACTCTGTTTGCATTGTTTGAAGAATGGGAGAGAATGTGTGGAATACAGTCATCATAGCATGCAAGTCTTTTATGAATGATTGCTGTTAACCAGAAAGAAAGAAAGTGATTATTCATGTGCAAAAGGATACTACTACTCCCCTAGAGACAGATCTATGGAAAGAATTAGGAAAATCTGACTAAAAGCCCCTAAAAGGTCAAAACAAATCTTTCATGCTGTCTGCCAGGAAACACTTGGGTAGGTTACCTAAGAGTACTTGCTTTGTTACACTTCCCCAGCTTACAGAAACAAACTGTAGGAGACCAAAACAGAGCTTTCTGGATCCGGTGTCACTGTGAAATAACAATGAGTAGTTTTCAAAGTTCCACCTACTGTGGTATACCCAGTTCTGAAAACTGCCTTTAAGGCAACTGCAGTGAACATTAAAAAAAAAAAAAAAAAATAAAAAAAGAGGAAAAAATCCCAGACCAGGTTACTTAACTGCATGGACTTTTGAGAGCACATCAAATTTGGCAGATTGAGCTGAATGGCAATTATTTTAATTAATCATTTGTCCAAGGAGACAGAAAACAATATGCCAACTTCACTACATTTTCTTGCTAGTATGGTTAGTCCTTAGCTTTCACTAGTCTGGTGAGAGACTCTTCAGGGCAGATATGCCATTTTATGAGAAAACGGTCCTTACAAAAATAAATAACAAAGGAAATTTAGTTACAAACCATGTTCTATATAGTTAATGGTTTAAGGGAGATATACGGATACATAGAATACCTGTTCAATTTCATTACAGAAGTATATGGAAAAAAGTAATCAATGTATGCACAATTACACGGTAATTGGCACCCTTAAAATACTGCCAATCATACTCATTACTCTATATAGAAAAACTAGAAGTTATCTCAACAATTAAAAGTACATTTCATGAGTTTCCAGATTTGTTCATATATGTATATAATGACAGAAAACATTAGTGAAGAATTAAACATTGCTAAGTCTTTTACAGTGAAGTAAATTCACTGAAAAATTGAATATATAAAATATATTAATATTTGAACAGTCTCCTTTTTTGGAACTTGGATGACAGAATAAGAAACAATTAAAATACTGTAATAAGATATGCTTCTGTTCTCTCTAAAATAACTCTCTGTTTTAACTATAATTTTAAAACTTGCATAAATGCTTTTATTATTCCTCAAAATATGCCTCTGTTTATTTTGTAGAAAATGTGTGTTCCAAGCCCACTTCCCAGTTTTCCGATGTTTATATAGCTGTCTCATTTGGTTACAGAGTAATTGTGATCAGACACTTGGAAAGGATTTTAAGCTGTAGAAACATCAAAAGTTCTGGTGTACAAAATCTTGAGTGGCCTTACACAAATTAAATATAATGCAGATTTACAAATATTGCTATTTTCTGCTGCTTTTAAAAGCACTTCTCATACTAAAGCAACTTGAACTGAAATATGTGTACAAAATAAACATTTTTTGGTCACTTTTCTTTCTTAATCTCATTGTCCCCAGCCAGAGACCTCCAACTGTGTCTGAAGCATCTGCAGCAAGCTATTACCGTGGAAATGCTGGTGTTCTCACTCGCAGCACCATTGCTGGTTCAAGCCATGCTGGCAGGTCTAGTAACTTCCAAATTCTTACATCAAACAGCTTTTACAGTGAACTGTTTTTGAATACATAATGTAGTATCATCTGTGCATTTACAGAAAAATTTCTATCTGGGTAGAACTGGAAATAATATTAAATTATACACTGTATTATTTTGTTAAATAAGTACAACTCTGGAATTATCAGCCTGTGTTCCACAATCCAATAAGGTGTAAAATATGGTTAATTTTAGCTAGCAACTGCCAGTGCTCCACAGAGCATGTTAGTATATCTTGTACCTGTTCTAAGTATCCCTTTGCAGATTTGACTCTGCTAGAAGTAAGAACAATTTTAACAAGAATTCAGTATCAGCAACCAGATACAATGCAGGAGAAACTAATGGTAGCTGGATGCTACCTAAAGATTTCCCCAGGGCAACAAAACTTCAAATACCTGAGCCATTTCTTTAGCGCTGCATCAAAGGGATGTCATGAAGGAGCTTCAACGTTCTATAGCAGCGAGGCCTAAATTAATAAAGCAGCTGCAGTTCACAGCAATAAAAATATTTAACTGTTTAGAAGAGGAGGAATCTCCAAGGTGTCTATGTATGTTCAGAACTGCAAGAAAAGCTGATGATGTTTCAGAGGAAATGCCAAATGCCTGACTATCGGCACAATGCACCTGAATATAAGACACACATGTAGTTTGGCATGTATATCTAACCTTGCTATTTCCACATCTTTTTAGAGCTTGACATAATGAGACAGCATAGCTCTGTGCGTGTTCAGTAATAAGTTATGTAAGACAGTGGCGAGTTAATCCTCTGCAGTTGCATAATAACAATTCCCATCTTGCATGCCTAGACTGGAGACCCATGTTGTAAATCTGCAAATGCAGGAACTTCAGTATTCCATCTTTCCAAATTGCTTCCCCTCTCCACTGCACAGGACTGTGGTAAGTCTCACCAGTTATCTATTACTCTGAGTATCCTAATGCTTTGTGTTTCAAAGGACAGAAAGATACCCACTAAATACCTTTAAATGAAAATATCAAAGCACAGATGCTGAATAAAAATTATTTGCCATAAAAAGGTACACTATACACAGTTCATGCCTTCCTCACACAGTTGCAGCAGATGAATTGTGTTATTAACACAGCTAATCAATCACCTATGACTTAAAATATTCTTGCTTTTCCCCTCATTCTAAAAGAATGCATCACATACATAGAAAGCCTTTACCTGTCTCCTTTTGGAGCAGAGTTCACTGCTATCATCTTCCATCTTCAGTATTTTTGTTTGTCTTTCTGCAGATACTCTAATGAATTAAGTCCTTTCCCTCAGCTAGCAGCAGGGCATCCAACCAGTGCCTTACAGCAAGCAGCACCAGGTAGAAGTATCTGCCTTAAACATCTGCAGTTGTCCCTCTAGCCAACATCTGAGTCAGCAAGTTTTTTTACAATCTGCTCAAATGGTGTAAAATTCCATTTCTGCAAAAAAAGTTTATTCTGTTTACGACAAGTCCTGAGCAATCTTAGGCTGCAGAAGCTTTTACTTCATAATTTGACAGCTGCTTAGACAGAAGTTATTTTTGAATACTTAATAAATCCAAACAATTCAATGGATTCAATTTCATTCAGTAAGTTCAGTTTCTTTAGGTTTGTGTTTTTTTTTTTAAAAAAAATCAGCGTCTGAAAGTTAGATTGACACAGAAAACAGCCATGAAAGATCATATATCTTGCTTTACACATCTGAAGATAGTAAAACAAAGATTTAAGTCCTAACCAAAATATAGCATTGGTTCACTAAGTTACTTGCCTTCTAATTTAAAAAGATCCCTTCCCATATCATCGATATCTGACCTTATGCAGTTATTTGGAGTAACCTTCCATTTTAAATCTAGCTTCGCTGTAATATTTTTAACAAAATTTGTGTGATAGCAAGGCACGATTCAGAATATTTGCTGAGAAATATCTTTTCAAATCCCCATCTTTGAGCAAAGACAAGTAACTTTTAAGGATGTTATAGGAAGTGCAGACCTCTTACTGTGCTAAATGTTAAAGTGGTACAACTAAATCAGCTTAAATTGTGAACTGAACTCTACTAAGCTCCTTGTGAAAAAAGTAAGGAGAAATTCCAGTTTTCCAGTATATTTTTATAAATATCAGTTCCAGTTCTGCTTTTTAGAAAAGTAAGTTTCTGATAAATACAGTGTATATCTTCTTTCTGAATGCTACACAGTTAAGACTGCTAAGTATGGTGAAGTCTTTCAGTGAGGATTTGTAAACAGTTCATTCCTCTCATAAAAACCCACGTTCGACAAATTGCGAACACATGCAGGTTCCTCTTTCTCCTATGAATGCTGATATGAACTACTTTGGCCCGTGCATATGAAATTGCATAAATGCTTACACTTACTTAACCATTCTTTGCAGGACGTGGGGATTACTGACTAGCTGTTATCCTGGGTAACACTCACATAGCAGTTAAAATCCGTCCCTTAAATAATAAGGCATACCATAATGATTTTCAACGTAGCAGACATTAATCTCTTCCATTCCTCGTGCAATTGCACAGTGTTTCTGGCTTATGTGCACAACTGTCTTGTCATTTAGAAATTGCTTCTCTTCAACAAAAATTTTGAATTGTACCACAAAAGGTCATGTTTAACTAAAATAAGCAGCTTAAGCCAACTGATTAAAAAAAATGAATAGGTAGTCTAATATAAGAGAATGGTTCAAATTAATAGTTATTTTAATAGAATATGTTGCATGGTATTTATTTTGTTGGCATGTTCAGTATGAGATACCAACATGCTGATGAAAGCCTAAGTAGCAAAAGATGTGAAAGGATGAGAACATTTGTTTATCTCTGTGTTTCCAAGGTCTTGGGCTTATATACAGGAACATTTTTCTCCTGAAGTGATGGGAGGCCCTTAATTATATCTGCAGCTTTCTCTGCTATCATAATAGTTGGGGCATTCAAATTTCCACTGACAACACTGGGCATTATTGAAGCATCTACTACTCTCAAATTTTCAATGCCAATTACTTTTGCTTGGGGATCAACTACAGCAGTGCTATCTGAAAGCTGACCCATTTTACAGGTGCAGGATGGATGATAAGCACTATCAGCCTTCTGCCTTATGAAAGCATCTATTTCTTTGTCAGACTGAACATGGCTTCCTGGTTGGATTTCAGGCCCGCGAAATTTTTCAAAAGCTTTCTGAGCAAAGATCTCTCTGGTCAACTTGACACACTGGCGGAATTCCCAAATATCTCTTTCTGTATGGAGAGAAAATAAGAAAACCGTAAGTATGCCCTTAATTTAGTAATACATACAGAATGCATAACAAAAAAATAGCATCAAAGAAAAAGGGCTGGAGGGAAAGTCTCTCACTTATTGCTGAAAGCCATAATAAAGTAGGATATTCTTCAAAGCCACAGTAGGATATTTACATTCACTATGAACAAAAGTGTCACTTATATTGCACAATCCCAAAAGGGAATAGGTGAGTTATGGAGAACTACTCTTTATTCCGCTATACCCACTGTCTAGCCAAGGACACAAGTCTCAGCACAAAGCAGCAAATGAGATCCATTCCTTCACAAGCAGAGGAGGGGATGAAATGAACAGTGTGATGTAGCAAACACTGAGAACCTGAGTGCATCCGCAACAGGGAATTCTTTTTGGTTTATACAGTGCTTTGCACAATGGCCTCTTTTGATACTAACTGACTTTTATAAATGAGAAATAAATAAAAATGCACTAACAAGCCTTTCTGAACTGATGTTGAGTAGATATGAAAATCTGCTACTGAAACAGGCAGGAAATAAGTTGACATCAGAGCAAGCAGAGGCTGCATTTACCTGTTGACATGTAGTTAGGCTCAATGATAGGATGGTCATTTGGGTCTGCACTCTTCAGCTTTAGCCAGCCCACACTTGTGCTCCTCATGGGTCCCACATGGACCTGCAACACCCATGCTACACTCATGACATAATCCTGCCAGACGTATTTCCAAATTCAGTATGAATTTTTTTTTGCAATTTGAACAGTGTTTACAAATTAAGCAAATGTAAATGTTAAAGAGAGATAATGGAAAATGCCCTTGAACATTTTTCCATTTTATATACCTTTGTTGTAAATATGATATTCCATAAGGGAAAGGGAATATACCTGTCATCAACTCACAGCTGTTCTTTTAATTTAAAATACAACCATTCCATTTTAGCAGTAGCAGAGCGTTCTAATACAATCATCAATCAGACCAAATTACTATTGTCACTGAAGAAAAGAGATTAGCAAGAAACATGTATGTTCAGTAATAGTTCCCCAGCATTAGCACAGACTTTTGGATCAAGATCATAGTCTAAAATGGGGCTTGGATTTGTGCCAATGAATAAATGAGTGGCCTTGTACGTTCTTGCTTAAACCTCTGGCTAAACTGCAGTGGAACAGGGAACACCTTGGTTTAGTTTTGTACAGCATCTAGCACAATGGTATCATAATCAATACCACTGTGGCACTTCAGTAGTGCAAATGCTTAAACAGCAGTTCTATACTTGCCTACTTTCCCAGAGATAAAAAGTAACATAATTTTGGTAGCAATATCAAATAACAAGCTCATGTTTTTTCCCTAATGTAGGAGGTTAGGCCAGCTCTTTTCTATTATACTGGACAAAGTATTTTTCAGTATATAGCCAAATTATCAATATTTATAATAGAGTGTAAGCCTCCTTGCTAATTGCTAAAAAACATTACTGGAATATGTTCATCAACAACTCACCTGGTAAGCTTCCATTGTGGAAGGAACCCGACCATGATCAATCACCTGAGAAGGGAGAAAGTGGAACTGAATGTCGGGGTGAGGAACCCTTGGTTCACTTCGGATAAACCCACCAGATTCTAAGTGGGCAGTGGCTCCCTCACCTAGAGAGTGTAAATGAGAGAGAAAATGCCATTAAAAGACCTCAGAAAAGCAAGAAATCCACTACTTCTTCTTAACCCTTGATTTCACTACTATGAATAATTTATATATACAGTGGCAATTGCAAGGAACGCAAATCCATTATGGACAGCTTGTAATTTAAGCAATCTGCATCACTTTCATCTGCTTTTTAATCACTAGATACATGTAAATATGCATAACTTTGGAAATCCCATTTATTTGAGAGTGGGATGTTACAGTTATCTCACTGTAACTGGCAGGCCTAGGGTCTAACTCCAGAGGTGGATTTGGTCCCAGGATCCTACCAGCTGTGGAGGGAACTGACTGCAGCATCCTGATATGACTGCACTGCATACTCCATGACATGCAGTACAGTTATCCCATCAGTCACATGTAATAGGCAGAGCTGCCCACAGTACCGACCCTGAAGGGGAAAGATGAAGAGCCTGCAACGCACCTCATATTATGTTATTTTCACATCTGCTTAAAAACCGAAGTTAACCCTCCATATTTACTTGCATGGTAAAAAGCCGCATATACCTAGCGTAAGTTGTCAAATGCTCATGTAATAACTCAGGCGGTGATGAAGACCTCAACTTTGGCCAAACTATTTTACTGATTTCAAGGATTACTTTTACAGATTCTTTTTAAGGTACAACTTACAGCTGGGTTACAGGAAAATGAGTGTATCTTTTTAATGAAAGTCACTTCTGATTTACATGCAAGCCTAAAGGGTTCTGATCAGCACAACAAACTAATTCTTATACAGAATTATACAGAAAGCTTAATTTACTTCAACAATATGTTTTTATTGACATGATATCTATTTCAAGTAGAATTTTTTTCTTCATTTTTTTGCAACAGCTTTTCTCAGTAGCACCCAGATTTTTAAATGTAGAATTTTTCTTAACATGAGAGAGAATTAAAAATGTTGAAAAATAGTGTATAAAAATCTCCCTTGTTACCTAAGACATAATACTTGTTTTAAAACATTCTGATTTAGAAAAAAAGAAATCGTTCAAGTCCATCTGCAAGCTCCAGTTATTTCCCAGAACATGAAAAAAATCATATATGAAGGCTCCCAGACATTTAAATTAATGGATAAAAGGCTGTAATAATTCTAAATCAATTAATGGTAGAATGATTGCATACTTTGTTTCATACCTGTAAACTTCCAAAGCCATTCTAGACCAATCCTCACCATGTTAACTGGCTTTTGTGCATTATACAGAGTAATAGGTTTGGTGCACTTTTGCTGGATGTACACTTCCAAATGATCTTGAAGGTTCTGGCCTACTCCTGAGGGGGAGTAGAAAGGGGGAGGAGGGAGAAGGAAGTGAAAAAAAGAAGTTATTTCATACAGAACAATTACACACAACATTTTGCAACCAGAAAACAGCATAAATGGGAACTAAACTAACCTCTTACAAGGGCAGTGATGACTAAGACCAAGACCGTGAGTCATATCAGCCTTTTTCTCATGTCAGAATAAGGTTTTACATAAACATAGCATGACTAGAATGAAAATAGAAAGATAAATGGCAGACATATCACCTGTCCTAAAATTGCCAGATATGACTTCTAAATACAGTACCAGCTTTTCTGGTTTTAAGGAAAAGTTCACATTATTCTTTCTATCTTTGACTCTATATGACAGTGGGAGTTTATACAATCTGTTGTGGATCAAAACTCATTCAAGATTGTAAACAATAACTATGCTGCTGTACTTTTAAAGTACTCAGTGGCATTTTTCAGAAAGGCATTTTTCACTATCAAAGGTAGTGAAGAAAGTGTAGGAGTTTATTGTTTAGTTCTAAAATCTATGCGTGTTTCCACTCATTTGTAACACTTACGCTTCAGTTCACACAACCTGACATGAAGACAACTGAATTTCATGGATTCCTTTCATCTAATGATCTTTGAATTGCATACACAGGAAGAAGTAAGGTTAAGAAAAATAATAAAATTACCAGGAAGATGGCAAACAACAGGGATCCCCAGTTTTTTTAGATCATCCGCATTGCCAATCCCAGACAACATAAGCAGCTGTGGAGAATTTATGGCACCTCCACTTAAAATAACTTCTTTACTGGCAAAAGCCTAAAAGGAAATGAACACAAAAGTCCTAACATTATTAAGCCTCACCTGAATGCAAGCAACATGTCAAGAGCTTCTGTTCACATATGGTATTCTGATCCAGGTCAGACACCCTTCCCTCACACTTTTCTCATTCTCAGTGTATTCCTATCTTGTCAGAAGTTTCTGCAGAGAGAAATGATCAGGCTTTCACCCTGATCATTTCTGTACTTATTCCCATGTTTACAATCTGTCCAAATGGTACAGCACACAAACATTCAGCTCAGCCAGGACCACGGCTGCCAATAAATTCCTGCGCTGCTTGCCAGGAAAAAAGTACCTATGGCACTCAGATCAGTCAGCTAAGCGTCTCTTTCATTTTCCGTAACAGTTTGAAAATTAAAACTGAAACTCCTAAGGAAGATTTTGAATTTAGAGAAATGCTAGCCCAAAAATTCTCAAGAGCTTATTTTCTTAATTCAACCAAGACTAATGTTTGGTTTCTTAGTTCGCTGTAGTCCTCAGAAGCCCCTCAACCACTAAAGGACTACTGAGAAAACTGACTGCAGGCATATATATAATTCTGTTTTGCGGACAGACTTTTCATCAAACAGTTTGAGGCTGAGCCCTGAACTGGTCATGATATAGGCTGCTAAACTATTCCCCTGCCTTTGACTCTGTTTTCTGTGCTGGATAGCTCTTTTACTAGAACCTTCTCTGAAACTATTTTTGGCACATTGTCTTTCCAAGGATTTCTGCCCCAAAAAATGCTCACTTAGCAATATCAAAATCCTTCTCTGTGGCATTTGTATCTGGGGGCTACCTCTTCCCTGTTGCCACATGTCTTAAATTTAGGATCAGAAGTATCCCCCTTAGTGCTTTTCACCCTTAAAAGAGAAAACTGTGTGGACTAAGACAATATTGATATCCTCCTCCTCTTCCCTTTACTCTTTGAAAAAGGATGATGTGAGTGAACCCAACCTTGTTCAAACTATCCCTTTCTATTCCAGTGAGATGGCTCATGAACACATGCGCGCACACACACACACACTGGATGCACTCCATCCTCCCTAGTGGCCCGTCTGTTGCCTGTTGAAATATGATATCCTTTTTATATGCACTGTTAGGTAGTTGATTACAAATTGGGTAGTAAGTCTTGCACATTAGAAAAAAAAAGATTCACCTGTCCTTAAGAAAGAACAACTGCACCACAGAAGAAACAAAAAGTAAGCAACAATTTGTATTTAGTGCAAATTCTAATACTACCTAAGCTAGTCCGGTGTTTTAAAGCAATACATATTTGCAAAATACCATAACTTTTATCTGTGAATTCTAATGTGTCAGTGTGGCCACAGAGAGCAAAAAATTGACGAGGCACACAATTATGCTCCTGAACTTCCTCTCATTAGCAAGCAAAACCCACAAGGGTTCAACATATCTGGTATTGCTCATCTACATTCTCTGCTCTCATAGAATGTAAGGTGCTATCATGTGTAGCTGCTTGGTTTTATTTTAGATGAGACATTTAGCTTCTAAAGCAACATTAAAAAGTGCTATTTTTTCCTGTAGTATAGTGAAGTGTTAACAGATTAGCATGGAGTGCATAGTAAATTGTAGTAATCCTGTCCTTTTTGAAAGACACCTCAGCTATACAGAATGATGGTGAATGAGATTGTTGCTAGTAGTAAGATCAAAGTGTAGTAAGAAGATAAATTTTGATAAATTGTTTCCACACTATTTATCTGATATTGCCAACGGACAGCCAGTGCTGATATTTTTTGTTCATTACTGTTTTGCTCTAGGCAATCATTAGTCAAGACTAATACACAGTATATCTGTGACTGCTGAATCAATACCTAGATCTGTATTTTGCATGTTATACAAATATAACTTACTTATATTTTCTGTGGTATGCACAGAACTGGTGCCAGTTTGTTCCAGGTAGTGTTCAAATGATGCTTGTTCAGTCTAAGCTTACTGCAAAGTCAGCACTGTAGTTATTCCTAGCCCATAAACAGTATTTCATTGGGCTTAAAGCTAACAAGAGAAGAGGAAAAACTGACTTTGAAACATTTTTGTATGGATTATTTAGTCTATGATACATTACAAACATTTTGCCCCTTTAAATACACTTTTCTGCTTAATTCTGAACTCAGAAACTCCAGGAATGTCCAGTCTACCTTCCCTACTTTTGTCAGAGGGCTTTCTGCCTCTGGGAGCTCTCTGGGACTACAGAGTCTACTGAAATAACAATTAAGTCACTGGCTTGATGAATAGGCTTTTGAATCATGCTTGAATCAGGTTTTGATGTTCTTTCCACTTTACTGATGACTGACGTAGAAGAGATCCTGCCTAAAATAGACTGTAAAAACAAAACCACTTTAATGTAATCAAGTGTTTCATCTTGATGTTCATAATGTAATAAAATTATTAGCTCTTCCATCCTGACAAGTATAAAATTTTCCAGGAAGGGAAATACTTTGAAGGTGTACTTTTTATTATATATGCTATAAATATATACCATTCAGTATGTATTAATATGTATGAAAATTCATAGCAATTAAAGAATTTTGTAAAGTGGTCCAGTACTCAGAAAGTCTTTGATCATATGTAATTAGCTTTCCAAGACTTCAACAAAATTCATCTTGATAATGACACAAGAACAGCAAGTAGAGACACTGTTTTCACAGACATTTAGTAGCTCATGAAATCAATTAAATTTTCCACAACTTTTGTTTCACATTGTTAAAATTATTATCATTACCAATCCACTCAGAAAACAACAGATTTGTTCGGTGCATTAGAAAATTATTTATATTGCATTTTAATTTTCAGCAGGTGTTCAATCACAGAACACTTGTCTGTTGAGTTTTGTAAGCCTTACTGAACTCAAACCATCAAAATCTGTACTCTGCTTTCTTTAGGATATTACTATTACAGTTTTTAATTCTTTTATAATTGTTTGTGGCTAAGTATCTTAAGTTATTAACATACAAATCCCTTTTAGGCAATTTCCTAGTTAGGTACTCCATAATCAGCTGTAATAGTAAAGAGTTACGGGAAATGAGAATGTTTTAGATCTTATAGAAGTCAATGGATTGAAAGCTGCATAAAATGAACTGTTTATCCACAGAGTTAAGTTGTAATGGCAATTCAAGCTTCCTTCCACATGATCACATGTTCAGTGGAAGTTGCACTGAGTCTGAAAAATATTAATTCCACAAACCCGAAGGCACATTTCATCATTATGTTTCATCATTACTCCCCCAAAACTCAATACATAATGGCAAAGCAGAAGTGAATGACTCATTATTTAGCCCTTGAGTCATTCAGATTTCAGTACCTAGCTTTTACCGATTTTCCTGTGCCTGAACGGCATTTTCAGAATTGTTTTTCAGAAACATCAGCATTTCGGCACACTAGTCAGTACGCTGAGACAGTACATGATTGCACCATAGGTTCCAGCCAGAAACCTTACAGAACACTCTTGCATAGCATCAAGTTATGGCTTGTCCCCTTAGTACTGAGAGATGGAAATATAGCAGTGATGTTAATCACTAAATCGATACAGCTGAAATATCACCTACTGTAAAATAACTGACAAGGAATCTTACACTGGAAGAGACAACATAGCAGCTGAAAAGCAGACATTTTGCATAGTAAAGTGCCACTTTTAAGAAAAGTTTGGTTTTAAAATAATTTAATTTTGCTTTGACTCATACCTTTCATACTGGAAAATAAAAATCTCTTACCTTTTTCCTTCGCCCATTTTTCACATACTCAACACCAATGGATTTTGTTCCTTGAAACAAGATTTTTGTTACAAGTGTCTTCTCTGCAACTGACAAATTTGGGCGTGATATGGCTGGGCGAAGGTAAGCACTAGCTGTGCTCCATCTTTGACCTACAATGTATATTTATATTAAACATCAAAATAGTCATGCTCAGTATTCTACAAGATTTTGGCCAAGAACCATCAGGCTATTTACAGAGGGAAAACATTCATAGAGTTTATCGAGTTCAAAGCAAATGTGATTTGATGTAATAATTAAAGATTTTATTTTAACATGACAAATTTCACAATCACATTTTGAAAACCTACTCTCCTTCCCAAATTTAACTATGAACCAAGACTTGCAATTTTCAATGAAATACACACCAGACTGATAGAAAGCTGCTGTGAAATGAACGGGCCGTAAATATAGAGTGCCATAGCTGCTCAGGAATCTAAACAACCAAATGGCATTCAGTGCAGATTATATGTCCATATTCCAAAATGCTTTCAGAAGTACCACTGGTGGGTCAGAAATACAAATTATTTAAGGACCTGTTTATGATTTACCTTGGTGTACAGTCATGTCCATCCAGCCAAATCCTTCTTGCTGATAGCCATTCATGTCATCTGTGAAGGGATACCCAGCTTGCTGGGTTGCCTCCAGGAATGCATGATGAAGAGGATGGTTTGTTTTCCCCCTTGTCACATATAGGGGTCCATTGCCGCCTCTGTACTGATCTGGCCCCAGTTCATGCGTCTGTGCCTTCTTAAAGTAGGGCAAGCAATGTTCATAGTCCCATCCTATAGCCCCTTCCCGGCTCCATCGATTATAATCTTCTGCATGCCCACGAATGTATACCATAGCATTGAGAGAAGAGGAGCCACCCCACACTCTTCCACGGGGCCAGTACATAATTCGGTTATCCATATGCTTTTGTGATGTTGTGTGGTAATACCAGTTATATTTCTCATCGCAGAGGTTGTATGTTAATGCAGCAGGCATATGAATCTTCCACATCAGTCTTTTACTACCTAGAAGGGTGTCTTTAGGGCCTGCTTCCAAAAGTAGTACAGTACTGAGAGGGTCTTCAGTCAACCTGTTAGCTAATACGCACCCTGCTGATCCAGCTCCAACAATGACATAATGATAAGAGTTTGCCTCTTCAGAACTAAGTTGAGATGATGTACGTGAAATTTTGAACTGCTGTTCATTGATGCCCAGTATGTTCTTTAATATGTGTGCTTTAAACAGAGTTCCTGACACTTTGTGCATCTGATTCACAGGACTGCAACATTTAACTCTTTTCATTAAGTATGACATCTTTACTTATAGTATCACTCTTGCAGAATTTCTAACAAAAATCCAGTGTTTTACCCTAGAAAAACAAACAAACAAACAAAAATCCTAATTAACATGTAAGCATTAATACAGCGCATGACCTCTAAAATGTCAGTCATTTTCAGGTAAAACTGGTATACTTAACCCATTCTCACTATCCAAAAGGTTAACAACAATGCCAATAAACCAATAAACATTTACTGTGAAACTTGCTGTCTTATTATTCTTCTAACACAGTCTGTGCACCAGTCAAGTGGCATACGACTTTGTATTATATGCAGCCTGATTTTGATTTGCTTCTGGGTCCTGAGATAGATACATGAAGCCCATTTTCAAGTATTTGCCAAAACCATAAAGGATGGAAACCTTTGCTTACCTTGTAGTCTCTCTTCATCTGCCTCTAGTAGGTAAGAATTTAAGAAAAACAACAATTTCATAAACTCCTCTGTAAGTTTGTGACAGTCAGTGATATTGCATAGCCAATTCACAGCAACGGAATCAATGAGTATGCCCACTGCACCTTCTGCCAGACCAAACCTAGGACAACATCTCTACAGAACAAATGTCTAACAGTGAAACTCATTTTCAGTTATCCCTGAGGTGAAAAACTGCTGGTTTTTGAGGCATGCCTCCTAACACAGGCAAAGGCAAAATCTGTTCATCTGTGGCTTTCTACCTTATTACTAAAACCAGATCCTGCACGAGTGCTCCGAGTAGTTACAATCCACCACCACCAGATCCTTAGGCTGAGTAGGAATGGCAATTTTTTTACCTTCAGAAAGCCTGTGAGCCTTGCAAGCACCACAGGTTTAGCTCTGTGTTGCACAGGTTCAGGTGCAGGGACGAAATACAAGATTTTCACAGCCCATGTAAGTGTCATAGGTACTGATGCTGCTGGCCAGTCTGAAGTATGTTTCTCTTGCTCTCACCCCTTGAAACCATTCCACTTGGTATAAACAGTTAGTGAAAATGGATATCCTCAGGATGCAAATAGCATTTCTCCCTGGCCCATGGCTTCTGTCTAAGCTGTTGCTGTGGATTCTAGAGACAGCAACCTATCCAGAGGCTGTTACACTGTAATGCACTGCCCAGCTGAAAGAAATAAGCAAGCTTTCTCCTGGAAATATATTGAATACTGTATTATGTTTGTGAAATCTAATTTTTAAGAAATGAATTAGGTTGTTAATGTTGATTTTCATACATTCAATTTTCATAGTTATCCAATATTTTGTAATTTAAGACCTGTATTTTTTTTAAATGTCTGGGTTTTTTCACTAAAAGAAAACATGCTTTAATGAATGACTGAAATAATCAGCTTTTTCTTACTAAAAGGTGGAACAGAGCTGTACTCATTTTCCCAGTTGAAACGCTACAATGTAAAGTTTGTGAGAGCACACATGAGCCCTTAAGGCCCAACTCTGTAACAAAGTTAGGTGCAGGTTGCTGATAAATGTTAAAAGTCTTCCACATACAACTATATTTATTTATAATTTGATGTACAATCTCACATGCAAAAGTATTTTTTTATTCTCTTGGGGAAAGGATGGGAAGAAGCATACATCTCTTACTCTTCTTAGGAAAAATTGTAATAGGCTGTACAAACCATCAAACTTCTGGAAAATGAACAACCAACCATGGAGAACAGTTTGCGCTGTTAAAAAAAAAAAAGGGGACGCCAGGGATAGGTCTGAGCCCAGAGTTCACACAGCTGATTCTCACAAGACTAATTCAAAATTGATCCCAGCTGAAGGTAAGGGGTTGTCTTTTACAGGTGGACACTATTAAAGAGTTCTTTCTTGGGGAAAAAGGGTTTGGCAATGTCCTGAGATGCAGCAGAGGAGGGTGCAAAAGTAGAGAGGTTTTTACTTGTTTTGTTTGTGATGAAGAGGTCTACAATTCTGAAGCACCTGTGTTTAACCTGCAGAACTGGTGAGTCACAGGACTTTATTGTTTCAGGAACAGGAGATTGCTGATGATGTTGGTAGAATATGGGCCTAGGCCCTGTTAATCTGGGAAAGATACTTTGTCCCTATAATGTGAGTTGTTTCTTTTTTTCTGGTGGAGATTCACCATGATGAGGTCATCAGCCCTACTCCTGGGGAAGTAAATGCTCAGATTTTGGTCCTACAGATGGTCAACACTTATTATTTAGATAGGTAGGGCTCACAGACTGTGGAACCATTACTGGCTGGCTTATTTTGGCATGGGATCTATAATGCCATCAAATATTACTGTGCCTCCTAACCAGAATGCTGGCTGTTAAGACAACAACATACCTAGTTCTTGGCTGTAAAGAGGGTAGATTCTGCAGAATCCCTAGAATTGTGTTCAGTCAGGGACTGACTTACTCTGGTAGTGCTGGGAGCTGTAGTTTTACAGCTTGCTACAGCACGAGCAGTGGCTACTGAGCTCTTAAGTAACATTCCAAAGGCAGCATTGATGTTACAGGACTAAGTGTGTTTTGCCTTATGCCAGAACCCTAATACTGATGTCTAAACCCTTTTAAAAACTGATTTGTTACAAGCTTCTTGCATGTGCAGGCTTTGAAACTCATAGAACAATTCAACCTTGTATTGAAGGAGTTGGTGTCAAGTACTGAGATCATAAGTCCTGAAGTTAGGACATGATGATACTTCTCTCTGAAACAATATATGTAGCTCTATAAGCATGCATGGATTTATCACAGTTCTTCTACAGAAGATAGTTTTGTGGAATTTTGCAGCAGATCCTCTTCAAATAAGAGGACATCAGTCAAAAAGTAACCTAATGCATCTTTGCACTCAACTTTCCCTTAGTTTTATCTGTCTTTTTTGCCAGGGAGAATTTACAAACTGTGCCGTGTTCTTAAGAACTGTATTTCAGCAACAATGTGCTTTTTCCAGTAACTGGAAAAATCACTTTGTTATCCAAATAGGTAAAGTCATCCGAGGCTCTGAGATGTGCTGGGGAAGCTGACTTAATTTACCCAGTAGGGAACTATAGTTTTATGGCCCGTTCTATTAAATATTGTAGTGGCTATGTCAAAACAAAACATGTAGAAATGGGGAGGTTTAAACAACATGGTCTTATTGGAATGCTCTGTACTTACCACCAACTTAAAGTTGTCTTTTGGGCCTTACTGGATATTACTGCATGTCTTTATCTGGATTTTCATGTATCATGACCTCTTTATGAAAATGTAGTAAGATGTTCCTCAGGAATCGGTGAACAGACCTGCAGAAATGCATACGGCAGCAACACAAAATATACTCACTGTATTGCACTAGAGTTCCAAAATCTGGAGCTCATTTTTAAAAAGTGTGTATTTACCAATATTACTATTGAGCAGGGCCTATAGACAGTGGTTGTACAAGAGTGAGGAGAGCAGGAGCATCTCAGGAGGAAAACTCTGTTGCAACAATTTAATAATATATCTAACAGTACACCAGGTAGCTGGAAGTGGGCAGTGGAGTTCTGAAGTTAAGTGTTGGGGCCTCCTTGCACCATTGTAACATGTTTCTGAATGCAGTATCAGGCTTGCATAAGAAATAAACTGTGATGTAACCCACAGGTACCTATCATTGCAATTCTACAGATGTTGATTTGGGGTCCCGTGAAAACAGACTTCTCTAAGGGACAGTGAAGCTGTGAAAGGTGAGGAATATGTTACTTCACTTTTTTTTTGTGTTTTTTTTTTAAAGGAAGGAGGACACAAAAGGGAGAGAAAAAGGTAGGTAAGAGGCTGTGTATGACATCTAAGGACTAAATTGGCTTGCCTTCTCTGTGAGAAAGCTAAGCAAAAGTGCTAGGATTCAGCCCAGGGATGTTAACTCCTAGACTTCTAGATTTAAAGGGCTCACAGGCCACAACAAAGAGAGGAGGGTGGGTATCCTGCACACATAGGTGGGATATATTGAAAAATGGACAGTAATTAAATAGCTCTGTAGGTGGATGAGCTGGCTAATCTACAAAAGTTACAAGGCACTGGGCATCATTACTGTTAACCAATCAGAGCTGTCCTGTTCTTTGAAACTGGAAATAAGAGTGATCTAACTGTCTTGGTACGTATTTTTGGGCACTCACTGTCTGGGCTAGAAGGCTGAATTACCAGCAACAAAAACTAAATCTAATGTTCCTTTTAAGTAACTGAAGTAGTATTTTGAGTCTACTCTACCGCATGTTTGTCAGATTTATAGTTAGATGTTATTTCATATTTTTCTTTGCTTTTTTCTGTTGTTTTACATCAAATGGAGCAGGACTGGCAGAATAACATTTGAGAGAATTTTTAACTTGCAAAAAGCAAGTTGGGAGTGAAATCAGTCAACAGTGTCCTGGTCATAACATTCAGGTGACTTTGAGAACTGGTGTGTAGATGATTCACAAATTCCTGTGCTTTTAAGTTCTGAAGTGTGAAGGTCAAAAATCAAGCCATTCTGATTTAATTTAAATCCGACATACATAGTTGGCTTGAATGGATTAAAACATTAGTTTCAATGCACAGTTATTTTTGTCATATTGGTCCATACCCACTCTCATCTACGCATAGTCCTCCTGCATAAGCACTATCCTGCCCCAGTTCCTCTAAACCATCTTCTCTTTGTTTCAGGATTGGTCACTGTGGTTGAAGCTTTATTCCCTGTCCTATTTCATCAGGGCCAAAACAAGAATATCTTCTGTGACAGATGTAAAAGATGACCCTCTCCCAGAGATGCCCAATAGCACAGGCAATACATGGTGCAGCAAAGCAATGGGACTTTTGCTGCACATTTACCCTTCCTGGCACTGTGCTGCCAAATCCTGTCAGGCCTGTCTGTGTAAGATGCAGGAGAAACAGCTCCCCAAGTAAAAGCAGCTCTTGCCACTTCGCTCACTGCAGACTGTGTACATAGTTTAAATTCATCTACTATGGGAGAGTTTTGGACTAACTTTCCCTTCAGTTCTGCTAGCCAGAAAGTTCACTCACTTACAGGAACCTCGTGGTAAGTTTCATTTCCACGGCTGAAACTGCTCAAGCCTACTTACCTCAGAGTTTCTTTCTTTATGAACAAACGTATC